CAAAAGGGAGATGGAAAAGAAATAGTTTGACCATTCTCAGTGCAACAGCAACATTTATCAGGAAAAACCAGAGAATGTCACTGCTTGCTTTACTATCGTGTTTTATGCTGAAAGAGTTTCCGAGTAAACTATTGCCATGATTCATGTTGGATAAATATATATCAGGTGATCAGCTGGCAATAGGCAAGGAGACAGGGCGTCGTTTGGGAATGGGTACAAACATGTATCCTTCCTCTTCTTTATTAGGACAGGACAAAGACGAGTCCATTGCTGCTTTACCGATCGATGAATTGATCGAAAAGGCCGATGGCTTTGCTGGTGTTTTTCCTGGTACACTATATTCCCTACTCTTCGTTTGTATTCCCTTTTTCCCATGATGTGTTGGATATTTTGGAAATTTTTATGTTCTTGGTCTCAGAGCACAAGTACGAAATTGTCAAGCGTTTGCAAGCTCGGAAGCATATATGTGGGATGACTGGTGATGGGGTGAACGATGCCCCTGCTCTTAAAAAGGCCGATATTGGAATAGCTGTTGCTGATGCAACCGATGCTGCAAGAAGTGCATCTGATATCGTACTCACTGAACCCGGTCTGAGTGTAATCATCAGTGCTGTCCTAACCAGCCGTGCAATCTTCCAGCGGATGAAAAACTACACGGTACACCTTCCTATATGTCCTGTGCATTTCACTACTTTTTATTTTTATTTTTATTTTTATTTTTATTTTCATTGTACTAACTAGTTTCACCTTCACCATGCATGCAGATATATGCTGTTTCCATTACGATTCGGATAGTTGTAAGCCTTCGAGATGATTGTTTTATTTTAATTCATAGCACAATGTAAGATTATTTTCTCATTTCTGATTTATATAGTGTTTTCCTTTCTTCACAGCTGGGGTTTATGTTGCTTGCACTCATATGGCAGTTTGACTTCCCTCCCTTTATGGTTCTGATTATTGCCATTCTTAATGATGGTGAGTACTCTGTGGTTGTATTATATGCTCCACCTTCAATTTCTCCATTCTATTCAAATCTGATTCATTCTCAACCTTTTTCTCCACCTTTTTGGCCACATACTGTAATCTGTTTTCCATTCTTCTCGCGCTTAAACAGAAAATGATATTGTTGGTTTTTTTATGACTTGCAGGGACCATCATGACAATATCAAAGGATAGGGTGAAGCCATCTCCTTTACCAGACAGCTGGAAGCTAGCGGAGATTTTCACGACAGGAATTGTTCTTGGAGCCTACTTGGCAATGATGACTGTTATTTTCTTCTGGGCAGCTTATGATACTGACTTCTTCCCTGTAAGTGCCATTTTCTTTTTCAATACAATATTAATCACCCAAACTACGATTTTTCTTATACAAGTTAATACGGGATAATGGTTTCATCAACCTGTTTATCTTTAACCTTTGTCCTCAAAACTTACAGAGAGTTTTCGGAGTTAGGTCTCTTGAGAGATCAGTTAACCCAAACTTCAGAATGCTTGCCTCGGCAATATATCTACAAGTGAGTATAGTCAGCCAAGCCCTCATATTTGTGACGAGATCAAGAAGCTGGTCGTTCATCGAGCGCCCTGGAGCTCTTCTCGTGGGGGCTTTCCTTATTGCTCAGCTAGTAAGTAAAAACCTTAAACCCCTCTTTCTATAATTATCTTCTAAACGTGCCATTATGTAAAACATATCAACCCTTTTTTTTAGCTCAACAATTTTAATTTTCGTTTTTTGTTAAACGGCAGATTGCTACACTGATTGCTGTCTATGCAAACTGGAGTTTTTGCGCGATTGAAGGGATAGGGTGGGGTTGGGCCGGCGTTATCTGGCTCTATAATATAATATTCTATTTCCCACTTGATTTCATCAAATTCTTCATCAGATATGCATTGAGCGGAAGGGCCTGGGATCTTGTTATCGAGCAAAGGGTACGATTGATGTCACATATACTCAAGTCTCCACGTTTCTTTTTCCACTTAATTTTGTGAACCTTCTCTTTTATTGCCCCTTTTTTTCTAAAATTTATTTATTGGGATGTTACAGATTGCATTTACAAAGAAGAAGGATTTCGGTAAAGAAGATCGTGAACTTAAGTGGGCACAGGCTCAGAGAACACTTCACGGGCTTCATCCACCCGAAACACACTACAATGAACGCCCTGCACACAATGATCTTAACCAGATAGCTGAAGAGGCCAGGCGTCGAGCAGAGATGGCAAGGTAGATTTATTTATTCTGTCCTCAAATTGATTCCGATTCATATTATTTGTATGTTGTATATGTTTTATTTTTTCTCAGACATTTTGGGGAACATATACAATCAAGTATGCTGAAAAATACTGATTTTTTCATGAAAACATTTGCTTCATTATGTGATAATCCTATTGCAGGCTGAGAGAGTTGACTACGCTGAAGGGCCACGTGGAATCAGTTATAAAGTTGAAGAATCTCGACATAGACACCATTCAGCAGTCGTACACAGTCTGATGAGTTCCGACTTATTATTATTATTATTATTAACATATTCTGGATGAGTTTTTTGGATTTTCTTCACGTCTAGAAGGTGTGTTTTGGGTGTACAAAATAGCAAAAATCTGGAAAAGAATAATCCATTGTGCTGCTGGATGCGCATCTTTTCCTTTTCAGATTGCAATTCGAGACGTTGAAAGGTTGAGATTATGTATACATTTGCAATTGCATCTCGTCTTTGAACTTAGATTTGCTCGGCTGCTGCTCATTTGAGGTGGAATATAAACTGCCCCTACATTATGTAATGTGTTTGATTACTGTGAAAATGTTTGGTCTCTGAAGCTTTTTCTTTACCAAGTTCTGCTATTTTAAATGCTAACGTTTGGTCTCGAGCTTGAATCATTTGGACGGGGTTGGCATGATTGATATCTGGCACATTGTAATTAATAGGAAATTCTCATTGCAATGATGTCTTACAAATTTAGCCATTTCGGAGATTTTTTTTTTTTTTTCTTTTAATTTTCCGTTTCCTATTCTACGTTTTGTAAATTGTCATATTATAATAATAAAAAAAAAAATCTAGTGTTATTATTTATTTACAATATGAAAAATATTATTCACCCACCTATATATTTTTGTAAAGAATGAATTTTGTACGTGATTCTTTAGGGAGGCACAGTTTATCATTGCCTAGCATAATAAATTTTAGAATCAAAGTCATAATTCTACGGGTAAACTACAAAAACTTGAATCAAATCATTACAAGCTAAAAGTTAACAGTTTAACACACACACACACACAAAACCCTTAGAAACTGAATGCTAATATGCACAAACAAAAAAAAAAGAACCCGATTTGTCAAGTCACTCAAAAACAAAGGTGATACGGGTAGCGGGTAGGGTCGTACCCGACTGTGTCTTTTGACTGACCTTATCTCACGAGACACGTGACCCACGTCACATACACACCAAGAGCTTCCCTTGGCTGGCATTGATTTTTCCTATGAGCTAGCATCTTATGTAATGTCACTAGGGGATGATGAGCACGATTCATCAAAGGGGATGTAGCTCAGATGGTAGAGCGCTCGCTTAGCATGCGAGAGGTACGGGGATCGATACCCCGCATCTCCAATTTTTTCCAGCTTATCCTTATTGTGTAACAAACTTATAATTTTTTCTTTCACTTTGTATGTAACAAACTTTTAGGATTTAAAGCTTTATCTCAAATGCACATTATATATGAAATATAACCTTTACATGTATAAAAACTCAGTTTTTATATCAAAATGACTGCAGATTTGCCTCCCTCTCCCTGCAATAAGATTAATTAAACAAGAAATAAACACCTCAAGATAGTTCATCAACAAAAGCTTCATAATGTACATATTTTATACACACAACTGTTCCACAAAATTTCCAAACTTTGGAGGTGCCAAATACAGAATATCTACTTTGCAGTTTGCACATGAACAGTACAGTTGACCTGACATTCACTATGTCTAATTTCCTCAAGATAATACAAATTATTTGCAGTGTGCAATTCACGAGTCCATCACCATTTTTGCGGTAGACTGATAAAAGAGAATCGGTAAGTATATGCTTTTAGTAAAAACATAGATTTCCCATATAAACGCATTAAAAATAAAAAATACAAACAAATACATAACTCCAACTCTAACCTTCTGCGTGACAATCACTTGAAAAAATCCCTCACAAAATCATCAGAAGCATCCCACAGTCTGCACCCTTCCCCTTCTCCTTCAATCGACACGAGGCTTTCCTTATAAGAAAACACCCAATAAATGAAAAACCCATTCTCTTTCCTCCGATTCTCCACTGTCCTCGATTTCCGAGCACTCACATCATACATAGTCAACACAGAATTTTCAGTTTCGATCAAAAGCTCGTTTTCCTTCCAGAAACCGAGCGGCCACCTAATATCCTGAAAAGGGCCGACTGTCAAACACTTACTCCACCATTCATCTTCTCACTCATCACCCAAACATCGACACATATATTAACATTATCCAAATCACACGTCAGCAGAGCTAACGAATCACCGTACAAAGAAAGGTCCCCTTCTTTAGTCTTGATACAATCAGGAACTCGTATTTCCCTAAAGCTCTCGTTTTTTACATCGAAAGCAAGAATAGCAACATCCTTGTCATTATCCATTATCCAATAGTAAGAACCTTTCAGGTAAGTGTTGCATAAAGACCTATACACACAGCGGCTCGAATTAACCAAACCCGAGTCTTCAAAATGCTTCCAAGAATCACTAGACGAGGTGTAAACAGATATTATACACGGATGGTGAGCCATATCAGTCTCCCCATTCCAATAGTACTGAATCGAGATAACCTTGTAATCGCCACTTCTTGAGTCGAGACCGAACCCGAACAAATGGTCATAAAGAGATAAATAAGGCGGGATATCAGGCAAAAGCAATGAGATCGGCTTAAACTGTCTCGTGGCAGGGTTCAAGAGCGCCATGTGGCCCGATATTCCGGCTGCCCAAAATACGCCGTTTATGGGACCCATTAGAGCCGAGACAGTGAAGGGAAGCTGAAGATTATCGGGCTCTTCGTATTTTGAAAAATTTTCATCGAGATACATGGCAAACGCGTACTGCTCCAAGTCATATCTGTAGTGACGAATGAGAAGGTATTCTTGATTGCTTTTGTGGGTAAAGTGTTGGTTTACAAAATCGGGATTTCGGATAATAGAGTACCAGCGCTTGCAGACGGACTTGAATCGCAATAAGTCTTTTACGGTTAACCGTAAAAGAATCTCGAGTAACAGGTCCTCTGGTATACCGCCATTGTTGGGGCTTTCCATTTGGCTCTTAGCTGTTATCAGATCAGTGGCTTTTATCTGAAAAATCTATTCTTTTTTAGCCAATTAAATGAAAATAAGCTATTCAATTATTCATAGCTTTTTGTCCCTTTCTTTTCAAGTTAAGCCCTTCATGCAGATATCGATATAGAACACAAGATACGAGCTTTGTGGATATACAGCATCAAAATTATGTTTCATGTGAAAAATTTACATATATACCTGCACACAAGCAAATAAATACACGCATAAAAAAAATCAAATGGCCATTTTAATCCACCTTAATTACACTTGTAAACTCAAAGATACATCAAATTTTATTGTGTCTCGAAGCCATTTCGGACAAATTTCTGAACACGAACTCCAATTTCTAACCTAGATACTTCAAAGATATTCGAAATGATATACAAGACAAAATCCTACGATTATAAAAAAGTAGAAAGCGAGCAAAAGAAAACCTGCAGCAGCAAAGTTTGATGCTTGCCTGTGAAGAGGCGGTGAGCTCGCTACTGAAAGCGACGGATTCGAACTTAACGACGTCGTATTCAAGCTCTAATTCTACCGCATGCGGACATTGTTCTATGGGAGAAATGAACCCATATTCAGGAATAGTAGTTTTTATTCACATCGATTGTAACACGATTCCTAACATACGTTTTTTAGAATTTCAGTTTCATACTATTTCAATATTAGTTTCAACCATTAATTATAATTTATATATTTTGTAGGCTTCGGTCTTTTGTCTACCGAAATTATTTTTGAGTGGTATTTTTTAAGGAATTACTCAAATATTATTTGAGTGGAATTATTTAAATACAGAGAAATATTTTTGAGTGGTATTTTTTAAGGAATTACTCAAATATTATTTGGAAGGAATTATTTAAATACAGAGAAACTAGAGATATGAGAGAAGAAAGTTCGATAATAAAGTATTATGATGCTCAAGCAAATATTTTATCTATCTTGATTTTTTAATAATATCTTGATTTAGAGTCTATTGTCTCGTAATACTTTTAACCATATCTTGATTCAGAATTTACTGTAAAAGATGATATTATGTGTTAAAATACTTTAATCATGTCTTGATTTACAAGAAGTTTATTGCAAAAAAAAAAAAATAAAAATCTGGAGATTGTGATTCTTGATGGATTCCTCATAGCTAAAGCAGGAATAAANAAATCAAAATTTCAAGCCTTTAAGAAACAACTCAATCTTGAAGGCATGAAAAACCACAAACTCCGAAAAATAGTTCTGTTTTTTTTTTCTCTCACGAAACTTTCCTCGACAAGTTCTTCAATCCACACCCGACGCATTTAAGAATAACAGTCTCTGTCAAAGGATCCGGTTTTATTACAAACTTAACACCCAGAAAATCCCTGATGTGCCTGAGGACTTCAATCCCATATGGCGAAAGCTTACCCACACGAACCTTAGAAACATCTTGAGGGCATAATGCACAAAGAAGGAACAATAAGCCCTGCAAAATAATAAAATTTAGTACAACAGTGAAAATTTAGAAATTGCAGAAAAGCACACATCTTGATATCTTGTGAACCCGTGCAATATATTACAACTGTATTCAAATATATCTCCACTGAGTTTAGTCTAATTACTTAAGTTGTGTTTGGTAAGCATATAAGCTAGCTTATTATAGCTTATTTGAATAGCTTATAAGTTTCTTGTATTCAAATAAATTTGGTTTGGTAGGGCGGACTTTTTTAAAAAGCTCAAGCTTACCTCATAAGCTTCTTTGGGTAGCTTTAATAATAAACCCATTAAAATTTTTATTTAAGCTAATTTTACCAAATACTTTTATCATAACTGTTCAGCCATAAGTCATAATTTATTAGCTATAAGCTCGAAGTTCACTTAAAAGTTATAACCTAACTTATCAATAATGTCACATTACATACGAATAAATAAAGCAATGGAACACAACCACATAAAGTAAAAGGATAATTACTTAATTAGGCAAAGTGATAAACAAAAATAATATTTAAAAAGAAAAAAGAACCTGGTGAGTCGAATCCACCACTCCCCCTTGTTCAATCTCACCCAACAGTGCAGATGCAATATTTTCACCAATGTCGCCAGGTGGACTCAATTCTTTCTTATCATCCTCCAGCTCATCCTCATCTTCAGCCCGTCCATACGAAACTGCTGTGTCAACTGAGATAAAGCAACCCGAAGTGGTTTCGGCAAAAAGTGAAATCCCATAACCAGGTGAACTGCACAACATTACAAAGATAGTTCAAAATACGACATATCGAGAGCAAATCACATTGTGTGTAATAAAACAGATTTTTCTTGAATTTATATTGTTAGGGGGAGGAAGAGAATAAATAAGCATTACTTTCCAGCCTGCTGTCCAGCTTTATGGTCAGTGAATATGTGAACATCCGGAAGCAAGCGATTGAAAATACCACGAGCAGCATGTATCAGTGTGTTCTCAAACTGCACAGACACTTTAGTCGAGAAGCTGACCCCACGAATCCTCTTAACCATGCCCTCATCAATCCATGTAATTGCCTGTCCCACACACCAAAAAAAATTAATAAATAAATAAATAAACTTAAAATATAAAAATAATCGAAACCCAGAGTTGTAAATTTTTCTATGCCAGGTTTTGCAAGACTTTTACTTTCAAACTTTCTTGAACAATTGGGACCGAAAGAAGAACTTCTCCACCGCCATTAGGAGGTACACCACGACTTTCAATTTTCAGGTCGAGTCCTTCTGAAGGTACTCCAAACTGCTTCAACATGGGTAAAGTAGTCGAACGAAACGTATCAACAGATGGGTCCTTGGCATCATTTGTAATACCTGAGATGTAAAAGCAAATCAAACAATATGCATTTAACATTTAAGTACAGCCCCAAGCGCCAAACAAAACCACATCAAGAAATATTACAAGCAGTTAGTTCAATTGTTTGTTCTATCGGTTTCAGTCTGTAAAACAGTAATAAAGAAACATTATCTTTTACACATGCCACTGCCCAAGGAACAGTTCTTGCATAGCTAGTATAGGCAGCAAACTGAATATACTAAAAACAGAAAATGAAACAGATCAACCTAAAGAATACCTTTAAGCCTGATACTCAAGGGCTTCTTCCCGAACAATCCTAACACAATCAACGGCTCCAAGAAATAGCCGATAGCTCGGCTCGTGCCACAGTCATGGATTATATGCCTCCCACCGATAACAATACCAGGTTTGTACTTGAGTTTTGTGCCTGACCAAACAAAATCAAGCTCAAAAAAATAACATCCAGAAATATATCTAATGAAAAAAACAAANAGTTTTATGACTGACCCAGCTAAATCTGCTCGAAAAACCACATCTAGAAACATATCTAAAGAAAAAAATTGGAGATTTGTGCCTGACCAGACACTAAAAAAAAAACATAGAGAAATATGTGTAATGAGAAAAAATTGAGTTTTGTGGCTGACCAACAAAATCAAACACAAAAAACAACACCCAAAAAAACATCTAAAGGAACACCAAAAAGTTATCAAGGCCAAATTGCCATTGACTTTACCAGTTTCGTTAATTTCCACAACGCAGTCGTCGGAAACCTTCTCCAGGAGGCGGAGGAGCGAGATCTCGTGCGGGCGGAGGCCGGGCCACGTGGCATCCGCGCGGATGTCCTCGATTAGGATAGGCGTGGTGGACAGCGTCGACAGGACGAGCCGTAGCCTTAGGTTCTGGCTTCCTTTGAGCTTCATGTACGGAATTCTCCCCATTTTTTCGAGACAGATTCAATTTAAAGTATGCGTATTCAGCTGAATCTAGGGTTTATTGGCAGGCGCAAAGCGATTCCGGACCAACGATGAAACTCCGGCGACCACAAACTCAGCGCCGCCGAGGGAAAGAAACAGCGTGTCTGAACTCGGAAGGAAAGGATTGTGCGCGAAAGGGTTTTTCTTCTAAACCCTCTTCCAAAAATGGACACTTATAATATAATAAAGTTTTTTATATCATTATTCTAATTAGTTCATGATTTTTTCTTTTAACTTCTAAAATATATAAATTCATTTTCTGATGAAAGGAAACCAATGCCCGGTATTGGTTGTGTAAATAAATCAAGCCTAGTTCGACTTTTTTATCCTTGGTTTATGTAAATAAGTCGAGTCGAACTCGAGTTTTTTATGCTTTAACACGAGTTCAAACTTTTATGGAACAAGTTATTAACTAAACGAATCGATAAAAAAATTGAGAGCTCAAATTTTTTCAGAACGAGTTATTAATTAACGAATGGATAAAAAAATTTGAGATTGTCTCGTTTATTAATATCAACAAACTCAAACTCTATCGAATCAAGTTGCGCCTGGTTTAAACAAGATCGGGCAATTCATTTATGAAATGAGTCAAGATCAACTTACAGATGATTCATTATTTTAGCAATAATTTTCATGTAATATACCGACATGAAAAAAATCATGTAATATGAGTTACCAAGTGAAATGGTGGCAATTATTTTTTTAGCCCTAATTCTGTTGTACCATCCTTCATTATTTAAAGATTTCATAGAGATCGTTTGGGTATTCTCTTCTCCAATGAAAATTTAGCATCATCAATGATAAAATATCTGAAGTAAAAACCCTAATCACATAATCAATTGATACATTTTCATACTCATAATGGCAAAAGCCGAAAGAACAAGTAAAAATGAGAAGACTTGATTGCAGAAATATGGCCACCAAAGCATAAACCAGAAAGAACAAACAGAAATGAGATAAGACATGATAAGAAACAAAAGGACCAAAGCATAAGTCAGAAAGAACAAATAGAAATAAGATAAAGACTTGATTTCAGAAATAAGAGGACCACCAAAGCCTAAGCCAGAAGAAGATACAAAGGTTCAATAATCCATAAAAAACCTCAAAAACTAGTAGTAAATCGTTCGAGTAATAAAAGTCATATGATTATTTCCACAAGAACCAAAATACGCTGCTGCATAAAAGAACCATCCAAGGGAACCAAAACCATCCCAATTTAAGGGACGCGAAAAACCATCAAAACCCAAACTCTCATGGCTTGAGTGCCAAAGCCAGCCCAAACTTGGCACTCTTGTCAATGGACTTAGTGTCCACCTCAGTCGACAAGGTGATTAGCGATTTTGGGCGCCACTCATGCTGAATCAAAGCATTCACCTTGCCAGAGTTGTTGACTCGAGCTTTGACTGTGGTCAATGGGTCAAGCGCGTGTTGGGTCCCAACCGTGATAGTGTTCTCATTGCTCGAGAAGCTGTGAGTCACCTCACCACCCACAGCTGTGTTGGTGAGTGGGCTCACCGTGTGGTAGTATGATGCACTCACCTTGTCACCCTTGTCATTCCTAAAGCACAAGCAAAATATTCAACATTTGGGTTTTATTAATTTTAGCTTTTTCGAAAAAATAAAAAAATGACTAACACACTTACAGAGTCAAAGCCGCTATAAGATCTGTATTGGTGAAGCTTGCTCCAAAATTGCATTTGGTGAAAGTCGCGTCCTTGGAGTCGAAGGACACATCAGCACCGAGAGCAAGTTTGTCGTTGCCCACAACTCCCGAGAAGTTGACTATGGGATTAGCGGTCAAACCAACACTCGAGCTTAGCCCAGCATAGTCATGGAGGTATTGGAGTTCAAGCTATTGATGGTCAAATGAAAGGGTTAATTAGATAGAAGTTCGAGTTTTTATCAAATATGTAAAAAAAAAGGGAAAGGGAACTAAAAATTTTACTTCACTACCTTTCCAGACCTCTGATCAGGAACTCGAAAGCTGAAGATTGTTTTCAGGCCAGGGGTAGGCTCGTCGATCGTGAGAGTGGTGTAGAGCTGGGGGATTGCATTTGTATATAGAAGTAAATTAAAAGTTTCAAATAAATTTGTTGTGCCATATTCAGCAACTTGCTAGGAAGCTTTCACAGTAACACAAAAACACATTGGTAAAAGAAAATAAAAAATTGGAGTATATCGAAAAAAAATATTGCAGAGTCGACATAGCAAGAGAGCTTACGTTGGAAGCTGTATCCACTTTAATATCAGTGGTGACATTCTTGTGCTTCAGCTGAGTGTTGATATCAGCCAAAAACAACTCACCCTTCTTAGTTCCAGATGAAGTAAGAGTCTACAACAATAATAAGAAAAATGAGTGTTAAAATACAAAAAAAGTAATTCAAGTACCACAACATCCATTAGCATAATGTGCATTGATCTGCATGATGGTGATGGTGACAGTAAATGATGGAGTATAATCAATGAAGGTGTGATTGAAACATAAGCAACATATTGTGAATATCAAGTCATATTTTTCTTATTCTACTAGTTAACCAAGTCAAATAAGTATTCCTACAATTCACCACAATCCAAATATGTCAAATAGCTTACTTAAGTGGCAACTACTAAAACATAGAAAATGAGTGTTTTCTCTAAGATTCAAGTAGTATCACAAATTAACAGAACCAAGGTGAACAATCACAGTTTATCAGCAAATTTAACCTAAACCAAGTTCAATTCAATGTGTGTAACAACTAAGCAACCCAGTAAAAGAAATAGAACATTTCAGGATTATTTATTACAAAATATCAACGGATAATGCCTTCTACATAGCAAACATATAGCATCAACTCATCATTAATCTCAAAAAATAACAGAAAATGCCCTGAAAACAAATGCTAACAAATGAATGTTCAGATTTTAAAATCGAATACACTGAATAACTCAAAACACCAGAACAAACCACCCAATGATACTAAATTTACAATAAATTCATTATAAAGTACATTGCTCTACCATAATCGTTCACCACAAGCACGTGTTCAAAAAAATAAAATAAAAAAACTGGGAAGAAACATGAATAAAAAAAAAATATATAAGATAAAGTATACCAAACTATTCAGATAATATTCCAAAAAGTGCATCAGTAAACAAGCTCAACAAAGCTTAAAATCACAAACTATTTACTAAAAGATAAAATTAAACAAAAGTTCTCAGATCCGTAAAAAGCACCGCTAAATCTACTTACAACACCAGTGGGAGATACGGTGGTGATTGTCAGCTTATGGTCGCTCTGAAAATCCCTGTTCAACAGATCTAAAACAAAAAGGAAAACCCACACAATCAAACGACAAAAAAAAAAAGGTAAAACAAAATGAAGAACAAAAATTGAGTGCTTGAATTAAGCAAAACCTCTAGCTTTTTTGCCGATATCAGAGTACAGTCCAGGTCCCTTGCCCATGGCTCGTAATTCAACAGAAGAAATAAAGATGAAATTGAAAATGTAGAGAGAGATACGTTCTATTTGATAGCAAGAATGTTATATATAAATTTTGCCAAAAACCCTAGTTCTCATTAGCCTCATTTTTTGAAGGGCGTGTTTATCAGAGAATGCCATCCGTCGATGGGATTTGGATCAGGCAGCGGTTGCATCTCAACCGTTGATGCATTTCTTGGGATGCGGAATATCGGTAATTCTAAGGGGTATTTTGGGGAACTTGTTTTTCTTTTGCGACAAGCTCTGTTACAATTCAGCTGTGTATTGTTCAACAAGAAAGAAAATGGCATTTTAGAAAATACGTCCCATTTGAAGGTCATACAAAAAATTATCAAAGTTGGGCCTTATCGTAGGGAACTGGAGCGTCCATCCCGAGGTTGGGTTTGGCCCATTAAGCCATGATTACTGCATGCTATGGGCCTAATTCATGACCAATTTACTACAAATTTAAACAAAAAATTAAAAAATATAATTCAAAATAGAATATTACATAAACTATTCTTAATCGAGTTGTATATCAAAAAATAATGCAGTATAAATACCATAAAAAAAATAATAAATTTTCTCTTTTATTTTTTCGTAGTTGAATAAAAAAATAATTTTTTCATCTCAAAAAAACGCATTAAAAAAATTGAAGAACTCGTTGGCTTGGCTCAACTCTCTAATTCAATTTGAATTGTTTAATAAACTAAGCTTGAACATGTTTAGCAACTCACTTAGAGCTTGATTAGTTGAAACTCAAGTTAGGCTATTTATTTTTAATAAATGAGACAAGCTCAAGCTTATTTATTAGCTTGATTATAGAGGCTTGAGTCGGAGATCGAAGATTATGAGCTTGAGCTTAAGTCATACCGTTTGCAATTTTACCTATACTACATAAATTTAGAATTATGAACTTGTGCCCTGTAATAATATTTGTTGTTTTTAGATTAGATATTACATGCCCTAGCTACCTTAAACTTATTAAAATAGTATTTATCATTGTAGACAATACAATAACTCATACGCATCAATTATGATTGTATAACATTATTAACCATGTGTACTTTTACTTGAATAGTTGAATTATCTTTTAAATTACTCATGCATTCACCTAAGTTATCTTCTAAATTACTTGCACATTCCCATATCTTGTAGTTATAGTAGAAGGAAGGACAAGGAATAGCTCAAACCAACACCAAATCTAATTGTTTGAATTAACCTAGACCTTATNATAAAAAAAAAAAAAAAATGATGGTCAACCATGGTGATGTGAACATATATGACCATTAAGAATCCTCATTGGCAACCTTATTCTTTTCCCACAAAATTTGGACAAAATTGTATGAGGAGCTAAAATACTCACCACCACCAACCTAAATTAACCAACTTTTGACTTACTACTTTTAGAACATTACAAAATCTGTTTTTACCAAAAATAAGTCACATTACTTTGAGCCACTCGAAGCAAATGGCAAACCACAAATCTCTCAAAAATCCCACAGCTATATAAAAACACCTTCCCCACAGCACAGCAAAATGAATAAACTCATCTTCCCTTAAAGAACCATTTGCATTCTTGAGTGTGGTTCTAAAAAGGTCAGGTCTGGTTAAAAGGTCCGAAACCCGCCTAGCGAATACGGGTTCGGCCCCAGACCGAAAAAAAAAAAGGACAAAAAAGGCAAAAAATCTGTATTCAAAACTAAAAAAAGAAGAATAATGCAGATGGATTTCGGACGCTACACACGGTTTGTCGTGCTCTTTGCTATTGCCTCGTGCATCAACGCAAACATCTTCGAGCTCGACGAGGTTTGGCAGAAACGTGCTGACGAGGCATGGAACCGGACCCTCGCGTCTTACGAGCCTAATCCCGAGAAGATCGTCAGCCACCTCAACCTCCACGTCCACAGGTATACATAAGTACAAATGAAAAATATCTCTCCTTATATATAAATGTAGAGTTTCTGCAGAGTTTCCCGACCCAACGTGTGAACTTCGAGTACTTTTTGTAATCATATGTGTCGATTTCTGGTGCTTTGGATTAGTCCATGTAGATTCAAATTAATCTATCTTTTAACGATCTTCGATTTGGATGAATTGATTACTTCTTGTGTGTGTTCGATGTTCTTACTCAACAACAGAGCCATGAAGGAAGTGAAGGCCGAGAAAACGGGCACGAACAGCACGCGCCGCCACCTGTCGCACGGGTACAGCGGCCCGTGCCTGGCGACGAACCCGATCGACCGGTGCTGGCGGTGCCAACCCAATTGGGCGGAGAATCGATTTCGGCTGGCGGATTGCGGTCTCGGTTTCGGGTACAAGGCCAAGGGCGGAAAAGGCGGGAAAATCTACGTGGTGACGGACTCGTCAGATACCGACATGGTGAACCCGAAAAAGGGGACCCTTCGGCACGCGGTTATTCAGAAGGAGCCATTATGGATAGTTTTCGCTAAAGACATGGTCATCCGATTGAGCCAAGAGCTGATAATGACGAGCGACAAGACGATCGACGCTCGTGGGGCCAACGTCCACATCGCGTACGGAGCCGGGATCACGATCCAATACGTGAAGAACGTCATAATCCACGGGCTCCGAATCCACGACATAGTCCCGGGATCGGGAGGCCTCATCCGAGACGCGGTCGACCACTTCGGACTCCGGACAAGGAGCGACGGGGACGGGATCTCGATTTTCGGGGCGCAAGACGTGTGGATCGACCATGTCTCGATGACAAATTGTAGCGACGGGCTCATCGACGCCATCATGGGCTCGACCGGCATCACCATCTCAAACGGACACTTCACCGACCACAACGAGGTAAATTTTATGCTAAATTACATTTTTAGTCCTCCTAGTTTAACGCCGTAACAATTTTGGTCTCAAGATTGTAACATTTTGCCTTTCAGCACTGTAATTTAATATTTTGCTGCAATTTCAATAATCCTCAAAGTATTGAAATTGCAACAAATTCTAAAATTCATAGATTTTTTATTAGCCATTTAAGTCTATAATTTAAAATTTTATTGCAATTTAAGTCCTATAATTTAAAATTTTGTTGCAATTAAAAATTTTAAATCACAGAACCAAAGCCAAAAAGTTGGAACCTTAGGACTATAATTGCTATGGCATTAAACCGACAGGACTAAAAATGTATTTTTGCCTGAATTTTACCATTATACCCCCTCCCTCGTGTGAATCCTCGACTAGCTAACACATTTTTTATCTTTTTTGGATAGGCGATGTTGTTTGGGGCAAGCGACTCGCACTCAAATGACGCGCTCATGCAAATAACGGTGGCGTTTAACCACTTTGGAAAAAGGATGGTTCAGAGAATGCCGAGGTGTAGGTGGGGATACATACACGTCGTCAACAACGATTACACGCACTGGAATATGTACGCTATTGGTGGGAGCGCCCACCCGACAATCATTAGCCAGGGAAATCGCTACATTGCTCCACCGGACAATCCATTCGCCAAGGAGGTTGACACATTTGAATAATTTTTTATTTTTATATGATAAAATATACGAATAAATACATACATTCATCGTTCATTCGTTAATAAACTAATGAATGAGAGTACAGGTGACGAAAAGGGAGTACTCACCGGAGTCTGTGTGGAAGATGTGGACATGGAGATCGGAAGGGGACATGTTCTTGAGAGGGGCATTTTTCGTGCAGTCGGGAGACCCAAAATTCACGAGCAAGCACCCGGAAAAGTACGACAAGATTGTGGCTGCATCCGCGCAGAATGTTGGGGAGATGACCAAGTTTGCAGGTTCATTGGGCTGCAAAATTGGGAGACCTTGTTAGATAAATTTACCAAAAAGAAAAATTAAAAAAAAAAAAATTGTAACTAAATTATGGGGATGAAAATTTTTACCACCTATTGCTGCAAGCTACTGCAGAGGAGCAAGGAAAGATATGGAAGGATTGATTAAGATGCCACTATATATTCATTATATGTTCTTTTTTTTTTTTTG